TAATACCAAATTTCACAAAGCCATTCAAATAACACCATTTGAGACCTTATATGGCTATGCCTCTACAATTCCAAATCTGGTAAGCTATGAAGATACACTAATATAGGATGTTGATTATACCATGAAGTCTATAGAGCAGATTGGAAGATTGTTGTAAGAAAACCTCCACAAAGTGTAATAACCTTCTCTCATTAATTTACTTTCTCTTATAAAAATAAGGACATGTCATAAATCATTATATTAAAATAGTTAAAAGATAGCTGAATGTAGAAAATGTTTCTAAATACTTAGATTCTAATTTGAAGAAAAGTTGAAAAAAATTAAACCTCATATATATATATATATATATTTCAAGATTTCCAAATTGATAATTTTAAAAAAAACTAATTCATCATATTAATATTTCTTTTCAGCAAATTTATCAAAATGCTTTAGCTCCAAAATTAAACTTTTATCAATAAAATTACATAGAGTAAATGACTTTGAATAAAAAATATTCACGAATATATTTACAATTCTCCAGTAAATAAATTAAACTCTTAGCAATCTCCTTCCAACATTCCTTGCAGATATGACCCTAGAACGATAGACCTTCTTTACCTGGAAAAATAGTTGTAAAGGTGAGCATTCCTTGCTCATTAAATCTTAAATCAAAGCATAAAATATATTCCATTTCCAACCAATTCAGTTATCATTTGACTAATTAACATCTATTTCTCATTGTATAATACTATAACTCAATTATTCAATTCATTCCACTTTATCATATTAATTTCAATATATTACTAATTTCTATTCAAGGTTTATACATTCTCTACTTTTTCTAGTATACATATGCAGTATAACTTCTATTATTATTGAGAAATAATTAATCCATTCACATCAATTTCCTCCAGACTTAACTTTTCAATTAAGCATACAATCATAAGACATAGAAACATATCACTTTACACTTAGTCAAATATCATATGACCCTTAATTCTATGCCACATCACTTTACATTTAACCAGATATCATCATTCAATTCATAACATTTTGTCACTTTATTCATTTTCATCCGAATATTTCATCTAATCAACGGTACTCTCAGGTCCCTTAATAGTTGTCAACGTACTCTCTCTAGTTACGAAGGACTTACGCAGCATAGATAGTCGTTGGTGAGTCAAACCACACATGAATACAACATGTGTTCACAGCCTTCCAATCAAATGTATAGTTAGGAGTCGGTCAAGAAATGAATGTGAGGCATGTAAATGTTTCTCACTTTTATATCATGTATACATCAGTGAATTACATTTACCATTCTCATTTCTCCCAGATTTCCACAATCAACTCCAAACCTTATACCCCCAGTGTATCCCTGAACTAGCCATACGATATCTCAACTGTGGCACATCACATTATACTATTTTAATACATATGTAGCAACTACATTAATCAATGTATTACAACATGAGTTATAATCTCATCCGTCAATGTACTACAACTCAAATATCATAATCGCATCAATCGGTGTATTTGTAACGTATTCCATTTTCCATCCATCACATATATCATTATTTTTCATATCACATAGTTTCCAGAAATCAACTTCATACACTTCTATTCACTGTTATCATTTTCATTCCTTTTTCTCATTATTAAATCCATCAAAACATATTCAGTAATTCATATCTATATCAATCAAATTCTGATTTATACATTAATACATCGCTTCTTCTTAATATTCCCTAAACTTCATTACATTCATATAATCCTCAAATTCCTTTATTTCGGTACATCAATTCAAACTATACCCCATTATCATGCAATTCGGTACATTTACCGTACAATAACACATTAGCACCAATTTCACACAATCAGTATATTCATAATATTTCAGCAAAACATTGATATGATAGTAACACCTTATCACAAAATACGCTGGGACGGACACCCTCGGACTTAGCCCAAATCGTGCAGTCTCATAATACTTGACTAAATATCATATTTTCTTAGTTCCAATAGGGCCTTCTAACCTAGAGTTCATTATTCTCTATCTTTCATGACTTAACTCATATACTTCCAACAAACCCAATACTTTTCTTTATACCAAAAATATATTTTTACCATATGTTTTCATAAAAATCTCATAGATTATTACTGAAATAGGTTACTCAGATTCTTATGGAGTTATTACATATAAAAATAAGACTAAGGCTCGAGAATACTCTCCTTACCTAGAAATGAGTTCGAACACTAAGTTCTTTGTGAGCTTAAGAGAAACTTCACGCTTTAATCGATTATTATCAGAAGGAGAAAAACCTCATAAATAGAAACTAGATTCAAAGGTTTAGCTCCGGAAACTTACTCAAATTCAAGAAGAACAGACGTTAAAGCTCTGATTTAGCATAGATCCAAAAGTATTAAGGGTTTTCTCTAGGATGGGAAAGGGAGAGAACAGAGAGATATCAGATGAAGAGAAGTGGTTTTAGTGAGAAATAAAATTTCTCAAAATAGAAGTCTTTAAATATTCTTCAAACTCGTGCGCTCTCGCTTGAGCGTGCTAATCAAACGATGATTTTTCTGATATCCTCGCTTGAGCGAGAGGTATTTTCGCCTGAGTGAGATGGGTTTAAAGAGTTTCAGATTTCTCTACGACACCTTGCTTAAGCGAGCTCCATCTTGCTTGGGCGAGAGGACAATTGAGGCAACTTCATCCCTTCTTGCTTGAGCGAGATTGCTCTAGAATGCCCCATCCTAAAATATCTGTCTTGCTTGAGCGAGGCATATCTTGCTTGAGCGAGCAGTCCTACACCAAAATTCTTCCAGAAATCATTTATATTCTCTTCTAAGTGCAATCTAATACTACTTAATATTGAACAAAACATAGTTTATCAAAAAATGAAAAGAGGGTGTTACACAAAGCTCAAGAGAGAATGAAAATGTATGCTGACAGGAAGAGGACAGATAAGGAGTTCAACTGTGGTGATTTTGTTTACTTAAAGATGCAGCCCTCCAAGCAACATTCTTTAGCAAACACAACATTTCACAAATTATCAGCTAGATATATTATGTTCCTTATAAGGTGATTGAGAGGATTGACAACATGGCATACAAGTTGGAACTTCTAGCAGATTCCAAAATTCATAATGTTTTCCATGTTTAACTATTAAAGAAACATCATGGCAGGCAGGTAGTCTCAGACCAGCTACCAAGGTTTAATGAAGACAAGGAGTTGATGATCAAGGCAGCAACAATCTTGGATAGGAGAAGTAAGCAAAAGAACAATAAAATCATAAATGAAGTACTAGTGTAGTGGGAGCACACTAATCTCGAAGATGCAACATGGAAAGAGTTACTGTTGCCCAATATCCTGATTTTGAGTGGAGAGCATTGTAAAGGACTTGGGGACGAGTCCTAGTTTGAACAGAGGGAAATTGTTATAATACAAAATTAGGAGGACTAAAATAACATGTCATTGGATGAAATTCTGTTGTTATTTAGTTTTGACTGGAAAAAAAATTGGTTGTTAGTGTTGGAAACTAGGGTTATATATATAGAACCCTTTGTACAGATTCAAATTAATAAGAATTTCTATGTTCAATGTTTCCTTTACAATTCTAAGTGATTGTGAGTATATGCATTCAAAGTTAGCATCACATTCCAACTTTGACAAAATGTGTATTTTTTGTGAAAAGTTCATAACAAGAATGGTTGTGAAATTTGAATAAAGAGTAAAATGAGAAAGAAAAAAAATGGAAAAGAGAAGAAAGAGTATGAAGATAAACAAAAAGAAGACAATAGTAGAAAGTTGTCAAATGATCGTTAGTTTCTTATTTGTTTCCAATATTGTCATCATTGCCTTATAGCTTGCCTTCTCTTACGACCCTAAGACCTAGCTAAAATACTTAAAACAATATTTTTATTTTTTTTTATAATTTCCCTGCGAACTTCTCTTAAACTTAAAACAATGTGTTCATTTTATTTTATTTTTTGTTATAATTCCCACGGAGAGGAAAAAACAAATTGTGGAAATGTAGATAAGAAGTACAAGAAAGAAAATGAAAAAAAAAATGAAAGAAGAAAATGAAACTGTCAAAATATACTGAAAGAAAAAGATAAACAATAATTTTTAACAAAGTTTACATTTTTTTATGAAAAAAATTCTTATTTAACGAGTTAAAGGATTCAAATGAAAAAAAAAAGGAAAAAATAGAACCAAAGTAAGAGTTATCGAGCTAATATACTAATTTAGCTCATATATCTTTTCAGCACACATTAAAATAAGCCAGCAATCAAATCTAACATGTTCAGTTGTCATATTGAACTCCAAAACGTGACTGCACTTTGGGATGGGATCCCCCTGCAGTTTCTAAATAAACTGCAAGGTGTAAACTTCTAATTTTTTAAATTATTTTTGAAAGATAAATTTATCATTAAGTAAAATAAATAAAGGAGAGGATTGATGCAGTTCTTATTAGAACCGTACGCAAATTATGATCTGATACACAACTTAATTAAATATTTATTCAATAATATTTTATTGGATAAGAGTTTATAGATTTAAATTTGATCTTCAAACTTGTCGTAATAAGCTATATTAATACTTGTTAAAATAAACAAAAATAAAACTTATAAAATTCAAAAACTATTTTAAAAATTTGTCAACCAGATTTTTTAAAATGCCCCATAATCTAAATATTCTGACATCGTTTTTAGGCAAACCTTTTTGAACAAACATAATAATAGAAGACCATTTTGCCATGACATTAGATATGCCACTGGGACAATTGAGATAATCTGATTAAATCTATAATTAGAATCATTTTCTGTTTCTAAATATGAACAGTATGCTTGATTTGACTTAAATTTAGATAAATAATTCTTTATGTTATAAAAGCTTGCTCAAAAAGTTGAAAAAAAAAAGAAAAAATAAGCAATTATTCCTTCAAAATAAGTCGCACAAAACATGCATTAAGAATGAAAAGTTTGATTAGATACTTGAAAATGGAGGACTTTCAAGGATAAGCTCTCACGCCAGAAACATATGTTGCCTCAACAGACACAGATGCTTCAGCAAAGTCTTCCCATGAATTAGTGGATAATATGACAAAATCTGCTAGCTTCCCAATAGATAGAGATCCTATATCATTGTCCATGAAGCTTGCACGAGCAGCAGAAATGGTATACCTGTCAAGGGATAGTGTGAATTTAAGAATCATTCATGAACAGTCTTAAAAAATTATGTAATGATGTGAAAAGCAAAATTTAATGATAGAAAGAAAGAGCATGAATTAGTTGAGTTAGTATTTCAATCAACTAGCCCAATTACAAAAAGGAAATGTTAGGAATACACGTTTGATTATTGGTTAAAATTTATTAGAATCAATTAGATCTCACTTTTAATTTAATGATTCTCACTCATATATTTATAATTTTCAATAAATTTTAACTATCAAGTAAGTGTGTTAGAATTTATAGAATCATAAATTACTTTATTATTGTTAAAATCACAAAACTCATGTGAGTTTCACTTCTAATCTAATGATTATGACTCATTTTCAAGTTTCAATAAATTTTAACTTTAAAAATAATATACATCAGAGACTGTGTTCCTACCACTCGTCCTACAAAAAATAGTGTATGAAGCACGGAGCTAAACAAATGACCACCTGGTAACTAGCAGTAAAATGAATAAGAACAAAATTTTTGTAAAGTACATCTCACTGAAGATAAGTTTTTATATGGTGAACGACACTAAAGATGTCTCCACAATCTGTGAATTCTGAAAAGGATAGATAGCAACGCTCCTTCTGAGTTGCAATGATTTTAGAGTTATGTAATCCCATAGGCCACAAATAAATAAAATTTTATTATTATCCTTCAGTTTGTTATATCTGTCCACCTAGGAGGATAATACACATATCACAAAATGAAATTAAATGTAAATACTTACTAAAATAAATTTCTAATTTTAATTGGTGAATAGTACTAACAATACCTAAAAAATAACATGTAAGTTTCTCTCTCTTGATAAACATTAAATAAGTAGAACCTTATAAAATTCATAAAAAGAGAGATAAATATAAACCTGCATATGACCTATGTCAAATGAGAAGATCCTCCTTTGAGGAAAAATTAATGCCTTAAGTATTTGGGTTGAATAGAAGTAGATCAGTAAGATCCTATATCAATACTAAGAAAAGGAAAATATTCTCCACATTCAATATAGATAAAACATTCAATATAACATTAGAACAGCATTAGTGGTTTAATTGTACTTACGCTTTTATTGCATCATCTAATGAAATGCACTCTGATGGAATCCACGCATTTTTCCATGTAGGAGGTCTTCTTTTCATTGATGCCTTAATCCCACTCAGGGGATTGATGTCTGCCACCTGTGTGATGTAAAGTACCTCATTACTATTTATTTTTAAAGGAACATGAGTACTAATAATTCCAATATACATACTGGCCAATCAGAACCAAATGCAACTAATGCATTGGCATCTAAGAGTGACTTGAATAAATATGATTCCCTTTCAGCCCTGTCCTTGCCAAGCTTTTTGCTAGCAGAGTCAGCATCATCCAGTAAGTGATCTGGCTGTTGATGTTTGGTAACAATAAACCATTACTAATCTTATAAATGATATTTTTTATAGTGTATAACATATAGATATGTTGAAGATATGGGTATTCATATTGTGTTACATTTAGGCTAGTGCAATAAGCTAACAACCAAATGGAAGCAAGGAAAAGGGTAATGGTAATTTTGGAGAATATAGTTAAAAGAAGAGATGCTTCGCGGTAGTGCTAAATTCTATTTTTCTGAAATATCAAGGAAATGATTTGGAAAATCATTTCGTTAATGCTTTTGTTAGCCCAAGGTATAATACATTCTGGACTACCCCAATGATAACAAACATAATGAATGATGTTTATGATCCATTCTATTTTGGTGCAGACTTTTTTGGACTGTTTCTTAGAATTTGCGAAGATATTGGCAAACAATCTAGTAGAATTTCTTATACATATATTTGGTTTCCATTAGTGTCTGAAGAATATCCTGAATCATATATAGATGCACTGTTTTATAATTTTTTTAATTAAAATGAACAAAATAATATCATATTAAGGGAGTTTGATTCAGACTTTTTTATTAATTCCCATGAATGATACTCCAAAGAACACTATGCTTCAAAGTTTTGTTTTTATCTTTTGCAGAATCTAACTTAAGACTTGATTCATCCTGGCCTTCTCAGATATTTTTTCACCACTGGCAATTGCATAATTAGTCTAAAGAATCAATAAATTTTGCCCTGAAGATGAAGATGGACTACTGAACTTTTAAGAATCAAATGCACAAGTTGATTCACCATTAGCAATTGTATAATTAGTCTAAAGAATCATCAACAAATTTTTCCATGAAGCTGAAGATGGACTATTGAACTTTTAAGAACCAAATGCACAAGTTGATTTGCAAAATTTACATTCATGTGATTTGCCAGACACACTATTATGAGTTTATCATGGAGTCCCTTTTACGTTACATAAACAAAACCAACTTTCATATTGTAAAGTAAACTCTCTATTTGCACCATTTCATTTGCCTTCACTGTTTGTTCTTGAGTCCAGAACACTTGAGTAGTCCAAAAGAAATGCCAGGATTGGATGATAAATCAAGTGAAAGAATTGTAGTAAGAAATCAACTAGAAATAATGGTTATAAGGAGTGTGGGACATCTTAACACACGTCACACTTGGGACTGGACAGTTGGTATGTGAAGTTTGCAAGATGTCTCTATTCCTAGGCAATTGTGGGACATCTTAACACATGTGTCACACTTGGGACTGGACAATTGGTATGTGAAGTTTGCAAGATTGGACATCTGTAGGTGACCTAATAGGACCAGACATCTGTGAACAGCCCAACATTGCTTTGATACCATATTAGATTACTTGGACCTAATTCACTTTCAAAAGCTAGCTCATAGAAGGAGGATTACCTAAGCCCTTACAAGGAGTATTATAGTTCTATTCTTAATCAATGTGGGACATCTTAACAACAAAACAATGGTAATAAGAAGAAACCTGTACAGAAGCAACAACCATTTGTTTGCCAAATCGACCTGGCGTTCCAGAAGCCAAGTGCTGGGCATGCTCAATCTGAATGCAATGTTAAATTTATTCACATGATTATAGTAGAACACATCACTAAAATATGAGCTCCCAAGTTCAACATACAAGTATAATGGAAAATTTTGAAACTTCTTCACATTTTAATAAAAATGTTACCCTGAATCTTCGATCTCTCATCCCATTTGTAGATGCAACTGAGTTCTGTAAGTCCAAGATTAAGTCATTGGCCTTGTCCCCTATTGCATGGATTGCAACCTGAAACAAATCAGCAAGAAGGCAGAATCGCCAATAGCTAGTAACTGAGATTTCATATTATATCAGAAGTGGTTGGTTGACTGCAGAATAAATCACCTGAAGCCCAGATAAATCTGAATCCAAAGTCATATTGAGAAGAGCTTCAGGTTCTGTTACTTGTAAGCCATAGTTATCAGGCTCATCAACATATGGCTACAAAATATGAAATACAATGGTAAATCCCATCACAACTACATGATTAAATGTGCACAGTTATAATAGTTATTAAATTTATCTTTTTAATGGTGGGTTTTGTAACTATTTGAAAAGGAATCATAATAATCAGATTTTAATTTTTTTTCATTAACTGAAATTGAATGTGGAAAATTTTAAATGTGGATCTCACCTCATAAAACATTGCACTAGTGGAACCCAAAGATCCATCAGCAAAAGCTTTGACACCACCTAAATGAATCCATTGACTCAAGGCATTGCCTGTTTTGTTAATTAGATCCTAAATAGGAAAACAAAGTATTGAAATTTACTGAATAAAAAAATTAAATGTAAATAACCAATAATGCACATCTTGCATGAAAATAACCAACAAAGAAAAAGAACTAAGTTAAAATCCAATACTGTGGTATAAATTTGCCTTTGTTGTTATGCGATATGTTGTACTAGTCAAGACATTTCAGCTATCATTCTATTGGACTTGTGGTTGATAATGTCACTCTACAATCTTCATTCTTTATGATGGATATTGATGCTAGCAGTGGTCCTAGAATATCCATGAAAGGGCGAATTCCAATCCTCAAGCATTGGTTTTTCTAAATTTTTTGGTCAATAAGTCTCAAGCTTTGTTTAAGCACATGCTTTATGATAGATATCTTTTGGGGGCCATAAGCAGGCCCATTACTTACAATACTTTTTGATTTACAAGTCATTGGAATACTTTGTTTTTCATCCCTATACATTCAATTTTAGGGTAATTCTTGTAACAATTTATCAATTGATTCAATTCCCTTAATCCTGGCTACGGATATTTGGAATTTTATTGCAAGTCATTTGAAGCTTGTTAAGTTTATTTTGATGTCCATGTCCTACATAAGGCTTTACTGTCAGAAGAAATTCTTGATCCTTGAATTTAGATCACTGTATTATCAAATTAAGAATCCATATGTTTTTTTTCTCTGTTATGTATCTAGGGCTGGGCACATCTACCAGACCCACTCGAAATCAAAGAACCTGATTCAGTTAACACCAATTTCAAGAGGGGGCAAAATGAATGGGATAGAGGCATTATAACCTTCCAGTTTCACATGGGTTTATAAGGGAAAGTGCAGGTTGTTTAATTTCAACCTAGACGGTACCAAAATCCTAATCCCTAATTCCTGCTGCCCCCTCTCTGAGTCTCGGACTTCTGCATTGCTCTACTCTTTCTGCAATGTGCTGTTTACATGCTACATTTCTTTCTGATGTCACACTCAGACTCAGACTAAGTGTTTCACATCTCATGCTTTGCTTCATCATTCTTCACCTTTGGTTTCTTTTTCCAAAATGGCAATCCATCTTTCCTTTTTTTGTCTCTTCGCCAATTCACTCTTGTCTCATGTTCTTATTCTCAATCTCAAAGTCTTAGTGTCTCCCTCATTAACCCTAAGTCCCTAACCCTAATAGCAACATAGACTCTGCATGCCATCACTCATCTCTTCTTTGTTTGTGTTGTTCATGTTCTACACTTGTGTTCTTAAATCTTGACTTGCTAAATAAATTTTTTTCTCTGAGACTCATTCTGCCTCTAGATTTTGTTTTGGTCTCAGCTGAAGAACTGGTAACTGTAAGAACTTCGTTTCCTATTTGTTGTTTAATTTACAGTTTACTCTTTTTTTCGTATAATATTTGTAGTTTTTTTTTTTATTTCACAATGTTTAAAGCTTCCAGTAAGGAGATTACATTGGAAAAGGCCACCATAAAATCAAATAAAGGTAATATTGATTTAACTATTTATAATATTTGTTTTAGGCCTTAGATTTAGTAAAATAGTAATTTTTTCATCTAATATTTTTTTTTTTGTTTCATGGAACACTTCTCAAACTTGAAACTTTTGTGGAGGGAATTGAGGTAAAAGTTGAAAGAGGAAAATTGAAAAACTGCAAGTAGGAGTTGTGATGGAACTAGTAGTTGCATATTCGGTGTTATTCAGGATTTTTCGTTTTTAATATATTAAGTTATCTTTTTGTTGTTTAATGCTTTTTTTTTTTATTGGGACCTGTTGAATTTGGGATTCCTAATTCTATGTCTGAATCATGATTTAAGACTTAGTTAAGATTTGTTCTATCCAACACCTTTTACCTCATGAGTCCAATTATGTATGAGGAGCTCCATACTATTTTTGCTGTTTGACCTGAGATTATTGTGTTTGATGTTCAATGTCCATTTTTTAATCAATGATACTGCACTGAGATTTTTATTTTTTTTTTCTAACTCGATGATGCTGAAATGCTACATTTTTGTTGTTCTCTCCAATTTTTAATATGTCAAGATATCCGACATTGGCTAGAAATAAATCTAGAATACTCCTTATACATGCCCAAGACTATACATCTGGTGCGTGAAGTTTGCAAGGCATCTGAGGGTGGCCCAATAGGATTGGACATCTATAGGCAGCCCTTATTTCTTATTATAATCAATAATGGTTAATTGAGATATTTTTGTGTTATGGTTTCTGATTCAATGATGCTGAAAAGTTTAGATTTGTCTAGGTCAAATTGAGTTCTTCTCTCCAATTTTCAGTCAATGATGTTGAATTAAGATGTTTGTTTTATATTTTCTAATTCAATGATGCTGAAAATTTGAGATTTGTATTGTTTGAACTGAGATACTACCTTTTTGTTCTTGTTATCTCCATGTTTTCTAATTCAATGATGTTGAATTGAGATATTTTATGTTGTTTTTTTGTTCAATGGTGCTGAACTGAAATATTTTTATATTATGTTTTCTAATTCAATGATACTAAAATGCTGATATTTGAAGGAGGGTTTTTCATCTATCTTCATGATGCTACTCCTAATATGAGTGTTATCTGAATTCTCATTAATTGTTTAAAAAGTTTGTATGCCTTACTGCCTTAGGGATTAGGAATTTCAGACAACTGTTTTTCTTATGTTTTACATGATGTCAAATAGGGACTGGACTTGCATAATTGTCTGTGTAGAGAAGGCTAGCATTGCCTTTTTATTTAAGGTAAATTAACTTGACTAGTTTTTTAATCTCCTAGATAATCATACGTTTTTTGTTCATTAATTTCCAAATGGGAAAAAGATTTATCAGTCAACAAATTATTTTCTCATTGTTTTTTACTATTTGTTAGATGAATGAAATTGTTGGTGTTACTACTACGAACATGATTTGTTAATTCAATATGTTGAGTTTTTCAACTCAAATATTAGGAATTCTTATTTCTGAGAATATGTCCAGTGTGCACAACTATTATTTTTCGTCCATGTATAAATGTTAAGATTTTGTCTTTTTTTTCTTTTTTTCTTTTTTTGCTTCATTCATGTATTAACATGGTTGGGTCAGGGCCCATTTATTTTTCTTCAATGATTCATCTTTGTAATAAACAATTTTAAATATAATTTATAGATTCATTCATGTATTGACATGGTTGGGTCAAGGCCCATTTATTTTTCTTCAACAATTCATCTTTGTAATGAACAACTTTAAATATAGTTTATAGATTCACTTGCCAAAATTTACTGAAAAAGTAAAATATAAGTTTAATTAGGCCCAAAATAATTCTCTTGGCCAAAATAGGCTCATACCTTGTACACCAACCCACAATAAACCATTACTTGCTAAACCGAAATACCCAATTCCTTCACTAAGTGGAAATGTTTTACGGCCCAAAATAGTCGGGAAGGCATTACGGCCCAGCAACCGTATAAGAGGCCCACCATTTGGAGGGTGTATAAGAGGAGAAATGAAATAATGAGTAATGAGCTAGCAGAGAGAGAAGGGAATAGGGAGAGTTAGTTATGACGATCCTTATAGAGGCAGAGGGGGTAAGGAGAGCGTATGGAAGAGTAATTTTATAGATATGGATAGGGAGCAATAGCTCTCTATAGGAGCCACGCTCTTGGCAGCAACGGTTGTATTCCCCTACTGATATTTCAATCCATTCAATAATATACACTCAGTTTTTCCTCATATCTCTTCATTATTTACCTTAACTGTTCTCTGTCGGGTTTAATTTGTAACAAACTGGTCCGACCTGCCAGATAACTTTGAGGGTGAATGCCACCTAGAAAAGGAAATCAGGGAAAGAACATAGATATCATGGAGGGTTGAATGGCGGTGATTGAAGGAGAAATTGTTGGTTTGAAATCAGCGATAGAGGCGATGCGTTTACAAACAGAGGAGAACCAGGCACGACTAATAGCAATGCTTACCAAAAGTCCAGAGAAGTCGCTAAGAGAAGTACAATCAACGCTTGATGGTTCAGGGACCAAAAGGTTGCAAGGGGACACTCTGGACAAATTCTGCCAGTCAGTGAAGAAAGTGGAGCTACCTACATTTGACAGTGATGACCCAGTGGGATGGATTTCGCGTGCAGAAATCTATTTTCGGGTAATGGAGACAAGTCCTGAAATTCAAGTAAACTTGGCACAATTGTGCATGGAACAATCTACAATCCATTTTTTTAATTCTCTAATTGCTACCAAGCCTGATTTAACATGGGAACAACTTAAAAACGACTTGCTTGAACGTTATGGAGGAGTAGGAGATGGAGATGTTTATGAGCAGCTTATGGCTCTCCGACAAACAGGGGGCGTAGATGAGTACATTGAAAGGTTTGAGAGGCTGATGGCTCAAGCCCCACCCCTGCCAGATGACCAATATTTTGGGTATTTCATCCATGGTTTGAGAGACGATATTCAAAGAAGGGTTCAAAGCATGTGAGCCATGGGTCTCCTCTCGCACCTACAATTGATGAACTTAGCAAGGGCAATCGAAAATGAAATGCAGGGGCAAAACCAATTCCATTCAGTTGGGAAGCCGTGGAGGGAAGGGAAATTTCGGACCAACTCAAAATGGCCATCTAATCCAGGAGGCCCAAGCATGTTGGGCCGCAGTGGTGGGTCTGAATGGGTCATTGTAGGAGATGGCAAAGGGGTTACTGGGTCCAAGCAAGGAAGCCCAATGTATAGATCTGAAAACTTTTCAAATGGAATGCGTGTTACATCGTGAGACAGGGGAATCTGCCATTTGCCGTATCAAGAGCTTTTGGATTACAAACAAAAAGGGTTATGTTTCAAATGTGGAAGCAAGTACCATCCACGTCACCAATGCCCAAATCGACAACTGAAGGTGATGTTCTTAGAGGACTCCGATGAGAAAAACGGCGAAGCCAATGTGGTTGCTGTAGAAGGGGACAAGGTGGCGAATACAGAAGGAGAGTGCAGCGTCTTGCATCTTGAAGGTCGAAGGCTAGCACCACAAACTCTGAAGTTACAAGGTGCAGTGTATAGGGTACCCATCATGGTGTTGGTGGACAGTGGAGCCACACATAATTTTATTTGAAAAAAACTAGTCGCAACTATGGGTTGGCCAACTGAACCCACCAAACCGATGAGTATTAAACTGGAAGATGGTTATAAAGCCTGTGCGCAAGGAAAGTGTAGGGAAGTACAGATTCAGTTGAATGAGGTAATTATCACCATTGATGCGTTGCTCTTTGACTTGAAAGGCATTGATGTGGTATTAGGAATGTCATGGTTGGCTTCACTTGACGAGATGTTGATAGATTGGGGAAAAGGGTCCATGACGTTTCAGCAAAAAAATGAATGGGTAACCGTGAGTGCTGGAGGAAAGGAAGCTGCAAATCAAGAAGCATTACAGAGTTTTTTTGGAAGCCAATCAAGGTGATAGAAGGTTGTTTGTTTGCAGCAGAATTACAAGTCAGTAAACAATTAAGGACAAAGAATGACGTTCCTAATTGGCGCAAAGAACAACTACAACAGTTGGAGGGTTTACTTAATCAATATGAAGATGTATTCCGTGACCCAAAAGGATTACTTCCAAGAAGGAAAAAAGAGCATGCTATCAATTTACTCGAAGGACAAGGACCTGTGAATGTTAGGCCCTATCGATATCCTTACCACCACAAGATGGAGATTGAAAAACAAGTCAAGGAGATGTTGGACTAAGGTATGATAAGGCAAAGTAACATTGCTTTCTCTAGCCGTGTAATTTTAGTAAAGAAAAAAAAAAGATGGCTCGTGGCGGATGTGTGTTGATTATAGGGCATTGTACAAGGTAACGGTGCCTGATAAATTTCCAATACCAGTGATTGATGAATTATTGGATGAATTGCATAGGACTGCATTTTTCTCCAAATTAGACCTCAAGTCGGGATACCATCAAGTACGGGTCAAAGAGAAGGACATCCACAAGCCAGCATTTAGGATTCATGAAGGACATTATGAATATCTTGTAATGCCTTTTGGTTTGATGAATGCCCCTTCTACTTTTCAGGCGTTGATGAATGAGATTTTTTGGCCCTTACTGAGAAGATTTGTACTTGTATTTTTTTACAATATTCTGGTGTATAGCCTAGATTGGGATACACATATGCTGGACTTGAAGGCAGTGATGGATATTCTGCAGCAGCATCAGTTGGTGGCGAATTAACAAAAATGCTCTTTTGCTCAATGAGTAGCCATGGATCCAAAGGAAATCCAAAGTGTTATCCAGTGGCCTGTACCTACAAGTGTCAAAGGAGTTCGAGGCTTTTTGAGTCTGATGGGTTATTACCGCAAGTTTATTCAAAATTACGGCAAGATAGCAAAACCATTAATGGAGTTCACCAAAAAGGATGATTTCCAGTGAAACCCCAATGCCCAGGCTGCTTTTGAACTATTAAAGCAGAAATTAACAACAGCACTGGTATTAGATCTTCTAGATTTCACTCAACCCTTTAGCATTAAATATGACGCATCAGGTCAAGGCATAGGAGCAATCCTGATACAAGGCAAGCGTCCTATAGCTTTCTTTAGCAAGGCTTTAAGTGCACCCAACCTATCTAAGTTTGCCTATGAGAAGGAGCTAATGGCGATGGCATTGGCTGTTCAGCATTGGCGCCCTTATCTTTTGGGAAGAGAATTTACAGTATTCACGGATCAAAAGAGTTTGGGCCAATTGTTAGAACAACGGATATCTACTATGAATTAGCAAAATTGGGCAGCAAAACTTCTTGGTTATCAATTTAACATCGTGTATAGGCTTGGGTTCGAGAATAAAGGGGATGATGCTCTATCACACATGTATGACACAAGTGAGTTTGTTTCCCTGATTTCCTATCCAATTTGGGAAGACAAGGAGCCAATCAGGGAAGAAGTTTGCACCGATGCAGCTTTGTCTAAAGATTATTACTGATTTGCAGAAGGATTATAATTGCAGACCAAGGTTCACTTATAAAAATGGAATTCTGCTCTATCAAGGTCGATTGGTACTACCATCCACATCCTCTTGGATCCCTAAATTAATTACAGAATTTCATGCCTTTCCTAAAGGGGGGCACTCTGGTTTTTATAAAACATACAGAAGACTTGCTGCCAACCTATACTGGATTGGGATGACGAAGACGATCCAAGATTCTGTTCGACAATGTGATATTTGCTAGTGGCAGAAGTATATGGCCATGCCACCTGGTGGTCTTTTACAGCCTTTGAACGTTCCAAAGCAAATTTGAGAAGAGCTCTCTATGGATTTCATTACAGGATTGTCTAAATCATGTGGGTATAATGCAATTTTTGTTGTGGTGGATCGCCTTGAAGCACCAGTATTCTGCTAGGACTGTGGCAGAGTTATTTATGAAAGAAGTGATAAGGTTACATAGTATTCTTCTCTCCATTATCAGCAATCATGACCCTCTCTTCATTAGTAACTTCTGGCAAGAAATTTTTAGGTTGCAAGGTACTCAAGATGAGTTCTGCTTACCATCCAGAGACAGATGGCTAGATGGAGGTCGTAAACCGTTGTCTAGAAACTTATCTATGTTGTTTTGTTGCGGATCAACCTAAGACCTGGGTCCAGTGGGTACATTGGGCAGAATATTGGTATAATACCAATTTCTATGAGGCGACAGGAATGACGCCCTTCGAAGCTGTTCATGGGAGAAAGCCCCTATCTTAGTTCGTTTCCTGCACAGTGACACAAATGTAGAAGCTGTACAGCGTGAGTTGTTGGATAAAGATGAGGCTCTGTGACAGCTTAAACATCATTTACACCATACTCAAAGCAAAATGAAAAATCAAGCTGATAGGAAACGGAAGGAGAGAAGTTTTCAGGTAGGCGAATGGGTGTTTCTCAAACTGCACCCTCATCATCAAGTTTCTGTTGCTACTCGGATTAATGCCAAACTGTCAGCTCAATATTATGGGTCGTTCAAAGTGTTGGAGCGTATTGAGGCGGTAGCTTATAAATTGCAACTCCCTGAAACATCAAGAATCCACCCTGCTTTTCATGTCTCATTACTCAAGAAGGCTGTCGGTGGTTACAAAATTGAACAAGAATTACCATCGGGTTTGGATGGTGAGTCTACGACAATGCAGGAACCGGCGGCGGTGTTAGCGTCGCATCTTGTGACCAAAGGTGGAGAAACTGTTGCTCAGCTGTTAATTCACTGGAAGGGGCAGACAGTTGACAAAGCTACTTGGGAGGATGAAGTTACGATCCGTAATCAATTCCAGACTTCAGCCTTGGGGACAAGGTTGGTACTCAAGAGTGAGGCAGTGTTACGGCCCAAAATAGTCAGGAAGGCATTACGGCCCAGCAACCGTATAAGAGGCCCACCATTTGGAGGGTGTATAAGAGGAGAAAGGAAATAATGGGTAATGAGCTAGCAGAGAGAGAAGGTAATACGGAGAGTTAGTTATGACGATCCATATAGGGGCAGAGGGGTTAAGGAAAGCTTATGGAAGAATAATTTTATAGATATGGATAGGGAGCAATAGCTCTCTATAGGAGCCACGCTCTTGGCAGCAGCGGTTGTATTCCCCTACTGATATTTCAATCCATTCAATCATATACACTCAGTTTTTTCTCATATCTCTTCATTATTTAACTTAACTGTTCTTTGTTGGGTTTAATTTGTAACGGTCAAAAAATGTTATGCATGGTTATGGTTAGATTAGAATTTTTGGGCACAAAACCGACCAGACCCGCCCAATAATCAGCCCTAGTTATCAGTTTAGAAGTTTTATTTAGTAGATTTCCAAATTCTTTATTGTCTGGTGTGATAAAAACCTAGTATGAACCCTATGGCATTTTTTAGTCTGAAGTCAAAACCACAAGTTCATATGCCAATTAATCCCCTGCCATTCTTGTATAATTGAGTTCAAATAATACTTAAAAAATTAAATGAAAATTAATATTCGTAGTCCTAAAAAAAGAAATTAGCATTTATAGCTGTAGAATTATTTTAGCAAGTTCCCTAATTATTATCAATGAGTATAGTGCGCCCAATAGGGTACTTTCCTCATATAAGTTACAGTTGAAAACAAACACAAGCAACATTTCAACTCTCTGATAATACATAAGTATGGTATCTTTAAAATGGGCAAGTTCTGGGAAAGAAATATTGCAAAATTTTCATGGGCAAGTGCTGGGAAAGAAATATTGCAAAATTTTCATTTTCAATTTTCTTCTTGATAAGAAAAGTTTCATTTGAAAGCAAAGTAGAAAGGTGTGAGTACAAAACCGAAAGAGACATAAATAAGCTCTAAAATTTGAGGCAGAGAATGATATTAATATATTATACTACAAAAACAAAAGATCAGAAAGCCATCATACCACTACGGGTGACCATGTCTCCATTGGAAAAAATAAACACACTCTAACTTTCATTTTTGACATAGAATTAGCCCATAGATAAACTTCTGTACAACAAAAAAGCAATAATCAACATGAATGAAGGTCATCTTAGGCAAAGATCGAGCTCTCATAGATAAATGAGCAAAATAGTAGGAAATGTGAGTTGCAATTCTAAAGGTTGAGAATTATGTCAGGCAGAATAATACCACATCACCAAATATGTCTCTCCTTTTTTTCTTTATATTAAAACAACCGCAACAATAACAAAAGTAATTTCCTGCTAAGAGAGTAGTTTTTCTTGATCATCCTCTACCTATAACTATTGGACTACCTTCCAATATGCTTATTTGGGCTTTTATAGGTCTTCTCGATACATTCTTAAGCCACCTAAGCCAAAATTCTACCATTTTTCCCAAAATAAATGTTATCCCAACTTTTTTCTAATTCCAGTCCCTATCTTGTTTTCTGTGTCTCATCCATCATAATATTTTAATCTTTGCAACATTAATTTTATTTTCTTGCCTTCCAGATTCAGTCCCATAACATACCACAGCATAGGTCTTATAATTGTACAGTAAACTTTTCCTTTAAGCTTGAGTGGTAATTTTTATCACAAATAACACCTAAACCTCTCCTCCATTTCATTCACCTCCATTGAATTATATGATTTACCTCTCCTATTTCTGCATCATTTTGTATAACAGACAAAAAAAATTGTGACTTGTGGGATGTTAATGGTCTCAACTTTTCACCTCTATGCTAAAATTTTGACCTTCCTACTAAACTTATTTCATATACTCCATTTTACATTCCATTCTACAGGTTTGATATTATATTATTCATACTATATATTATGTACCAACTTAAGGCATTAGAAAAACAAAATTATGAGATGAAATAAGATAAAATATTACAGTTTCATCATTCTCAATCCATAGCTTAATTTTATTTTTCATTTTCATTCATACTCTAGTCATTTATGAAAGCATAATTCAATATTACAAACTGCTTGCAATATCAGTTTCTTGAATATTTCAATATTCATCCTTAGCAAATAAGTTTGAATCAGTGATACACCGATGAAAATAAATAAATTAAATAAAAATAAGTACAAGATATTAGTATAGAGTAATGCCATCTAATTAGATGTACAAAAAGTGCAAATTATGATATTAAAACCTGAAAAATCTTCCCAAGAAAGATCTGCTGGAACCCCTGGAAAGTATCTTCCCATATCAACAACTGTTGTCACGCCCCTTGTCAAAGCAAGATTGCTTGCTCTAAGCAATGCTTCCCTCCTGTCATTTGCTGAATACTCTGGAATTTTGGAGACAACAAGCCTCATTGCAGAATCAATTAGCAATCCAGTAGGTTCTGGTGGACAAAATTGACCCAAGCAATTAGTAATATTGCATCAGTTTAGATAATATAAAACCATCAAGAATCTTGTAAATGAAATTATAAATTGGCTACAGGATAACAACATCAAAACAATCAGTCTATGTAAGAAAAAAAAGAATGAACCAACTGACATGTAGGAGAGCAATAACTTGGTAAAGACAATGCTAGACTGGCTTAAAATGGCAACAGGATGTGCTAATATGATTCATCAACTTAAAACAACAATCACAAGGCTCAAGCATATTATCCAGAAAACCATATTGAAAATGCAGAAACTCAAAGGTTCATAACCCAAAGTTTTTAGATTTTTAGATGCAAAAATATGACAGGTAAAAGGAAGGTTCAACCATTATAGCCTTATGCTTGTTAGAAATTCGCCTCATTATATTTACATATGAAGATAATAAATTATTACCTCCAATTGAAGTCCTCATTACAGCTCCTCCTCTTGGATCATCAGTTAAATTTGTTATCCCAGCCAACGTTAATGCCACTGAATTAGCCAAGCCCATGTGACCATCCATTCTTGATAGCCAAACCTGCTTGTATAGTTCAAATAGACTATACAGCCTTGAAAGTGTATAAAAATATGTTCATAAAAGGAAACATTATATGCCTCACAGGATTATTTGGTGAAATATCATCAATCCATGAGGCAGCGGGCAAATCTCCTCCCCATAGATCATTGTTCCATCCACCACCCAAAATCCAAGAACCTTGCTTTGTGCCTAAAGTTAACACAGCAGAAAAGTATAAACTAGAATACTATAATACAGAAGTGTTTTCATTTGATGAACTTTTCTGCACAGATTTTAACAAGAAGTTCTCAAACCATACATTTTTTGTTACTACCAAGAGAAAGAATAATGGAAATCTTTTGAGAGCTAACTAAAGTGGATTCATATTTCACAGAAGTGCCAAAATGAGACTCAGGCGTTTGTGCATAAATATATAACCCAGAAAGAAAAATGAAAAGTAAATAAGCATGCAAAAAGTCAAAGGCTTACTCTGGACTGCATCTTTGATCCTTCTAATAAAGTCTTCCGTTTCATTCACGCCTCTAAGTTTCACCTGCATCATCTGTATCCATGATACATTTATAAACAGGGCATATAATGTAGGTTAGCAAGGATTTCTTAGATAGCAGAAACCAAAAATTAGGTTCAGATAGAAGAAAACAAATACATTTATATGAAAAATTAGCCCCCAAATTGATCCTTGAATTCTTTTCAGGACATCAATTTGGTCCATAAAAGAATAGTTACATCAAATTAGCCCTTAAATGATAATTCTAGAACCTTGAATAACATCAATCTGGTCCAAGTAAACAGTAAATTATTTTTGTCTATTTTTTATATAAAAAAATTATGGTTGTAGGACCAAATTAGTGTTCCAAAAACCTTTTTCAGGACCAAAACGGGGCATTTACTCTTTAGATTTTAGGATTGTAGTAATTTGGCATTGTGCAATAAATGCATAAAGTTCCAAGATCATTAGATATTTGATTATGAGAATTTCAAATGACTGAAACTTTTGAAGCAAATTCAAACATATGGCAATGCTAAATTGAGGATAGAAAACAAACATAAAAAAACTGGAAAATAATGTAGCACAAAACCTGCAGGCCACCATGAATGAAATGCACATGTGAATCAATAAACCCAGGAACCACAACCTTTCCCCCAAGATCCAGTTCTCTAGTTCCATAACCTGCCAACTCCTACACACAATTCAAAAAAGCACTTCTGGGTCTGTGGGAATTGAAGCTCACATCACAATCACTATCACAATCACATATATAATTGTACAAACTAGTAGCTCAGACAAAATTGCATCTTGCTTAAAAAATTAAAATTAAAAATCCTAAATTAGTTCTCCAGATTAGTACTTCTGGCCTAACTTTATAAAACATATACCTTAATTTGTAGTACTTTTCACAACAAAACGATAATGAAAAACGAAAGTAAAATATACCAAAATAAATGACTTTTTACAAAGTGAGGTAATAATTAATTAAAATCTTAGGGAATGAAATATCTGAAGAGGACTGATATGTTGTCAACTCTTTTTTTTGTTTTTGAAATTAGGGAAGTGAAGTGAACCTGGACAAATGAATAGTTTCCAAGACGAAGAACCCTTCCATTAGCTACAGCCATGGAATGTGCAAATGGGAGAGTGTCCTCACTTGTATATATCACCCCATTTGTTAAAATCAAATCAGCTACTTCTATTACTGCTACCTTCTTCCAATAACTCAAAAAATCTGCAAAACCCACAAACATTGTCGACTTCCCGCGTGTATGCAAAAAGGTACATGTCTATTCTACCACTCTATGTCTATGTCATTGTCATGTCTCACAGAGACACACACGTGTGTAAGAGAGAGAGAGAGGATTACGTGTTGAGTTTGGGTGGAGAAGATGGAGATAAGCAATGCCGAGGAAGAGAGAGATTGAAGCGGAAACAAGTATGGGAAGGTTCATTATGTGCGAGGGTTGAGGCCGTAGCAATGGAACAAGAACCACTTTGTCTAAGTTTCTTTCTCTCTGCCATGCATGTCCTAAATTCCTGTACTTTCCCCGGTTACTTATATATATAAAAGATTTTTTATTTAAAATAAAAAAAGAAAAACTTTAAAAATGTCTTTTTCTTTTCTAAAGAATTAAAAATATGTCATAATTTACTTAATTAGGTTTAGAAGCCAAAGAGAAGGAGGAAAAAATTAGAAAGAGTTTAATTTTGTTTGAAAGTTACTTAATTAGGAGGAAAGATTTTTAAAATTTTTTTAAACTTTTTAAAAATTTATTTTTTGAGTTTTTTATATTTAGAATTTTACTTCTCTTACTTTTTTGTATTATTTTACAAATAATATTTTAATTTTTTTAAAAAAAATTAGTTTTACAAGTGATAATTTTTTTTTAAAAAATTATAAAAATAAAAATTTTAATTTTAAAATTATTTATATAATTAAACTTTTTATTACTCTTCCTTCTTAATATTGAACATTCAAGCAAGAGAATGATTTAACATCCTTCGTCCTCTCTTTCCCTCCTTCTCCCTTCAAATCCTTCATCTTTCTCCCTTTCCAAACTGCAAAACAAAGCCTTAAGGTAAAATGTTTTACATACAAGCTTTGAGCAAATTACTGTTAATTACCCTTTATGCTAATGAGTACTCAAGTACAAGCTACTCAAGCTTTGTATGACTTTTGAGCATCACATAAGTCATATCAAGAAGTTGTAATTCTTAAGTAACTATACTTTTGTTCACATTTAACACAAGGCATGGTAAATGGTAAAGCAAAATATATGTCATTTTATTTTTGTGTGACTTGTCATATAAGTTAAATTATTCATACATTATGCATCTTATTATCCACCTTTGTATAAATATTCATTAAGAAGTTGTTTAGCCGTAACACATTTTTTTCAATTGCCAAAACAGGTTGATTTTGTAAAAATGACTAAAAAATGCTATATACTTTTTCATTACAACAACGAAATTACATATACTATAGAGGGAGTTATTTTCTATAATGAATGACCCATTTGCATTGTTTATCCAAGTTTGTAGTTACAAAGTAGCATATTCTAGTAGTTAGGCCAAGCAAATAACAAAAATGTTATGGAGATGTTATACAAGTTTCCTATAACCATAGGTCAAAGCGTTATTAAGTATACAAGTTATCTAATTTGTAATAATAATAATAATAATATGATTATGATGTTTAATTTTCAAGTCTAATTTATACATATTTGTATAATGAAATTATTCATAATTTTGCAAGAAAGTCAATTCAATTTTAGAAGTTTTAATCATATTAAATTAGTTGTCGGGGCATCTTGCTCCCAACAAATGAGGTTGGCATAAATAATTATGAACGATCAAGAGAAAATATTGGTAATGTTATGGTAAGTTTAAGTTTTACATAACTTCTTCAACCTTTGGATGTTGACCTTGTTGGTAGTTTTGATTTGTAAAATTTTATTGAGTATGCAGAAAATGTTGAAAAGAGCAATTTGATTGGCTTGTACACAAGGAGAGTGATGAAGAGAGATAAAGGATATTAATCAAACACAACTATTGATGTCGCAGTTACAGTGTTAACAACAACTTTGTCATTATTTAACGTTGAATTTGGATGTGATGAATTAGAACAATGTTGATAGGTTTTTATGCGAAGTTAAAGAAGGTAATAGAAGTTTTACTTTGGATAGACAAATAGAGTTCAAAGTGGGATAGTAATTTAGGGACAAGAAAGTTGTGTTATTTACAATAAAGATTTACAATATCTAAATATGGACAAAATGCCGCCTTAAGGTATTCACATGATGGCCAGGTGTCACCAACCATGTTAACTTTAATGTGGCAAACAATACATTGATCTCGTAATTGATAATACACCTTAAAGTGATTAGGCTACCATCTTACTTGACCTTGCACCCTCACGTCCATCACTACGATGAAGCTTGTCATTGTTCATTGCATTAGGTGGAATGTGTTGGGCTCCACCAAAATGACAAAGAACACAATTTGGAACATGTCATTCAACAATAGCAAAACATATAAGAGGGGAGACAAAAGTCCAAACATTTTTATCATCATACATAAACATAAGCATAACTTGTCTCACGATTAAGTATGTAACACTCTTATTTTTGTTATTTATTATTATTATATTTTATGTTAGTTTTTTATTCACATTATTTGAAATTAGGAGAGTTTAAAGTGTGAGAGCTGCAGGATCTCTCATTGTAGTGAGACAAATCATATAGAATCACACTCTTTGGAGCATTGTCCCTGTAGAGAGAAGTGGATAAGGATGACCCAACGACTGTCTCACTCTAGCAAGAGATATTCTTGCTATAGCGAGGATTCTTGCTATAGTCAAAATGACAGATAACAGAGAAAAATATTGTCTGGTTTTTTCACTATAGCGAGGAAGGGGCTTGCTCTAGTGAGGAAGTCGCTAGTTAATAAGTATTTAAGGGTTTTCAACCTAAGAAACTTGGATTACAATCCAAGTTATGAACTTCTCACTATTCTCTCTGATTTCTCACTCTCTTCCCTTTAGAAAATCTCCCTTAAACCTCAATCTTTCTTTAAATCTGGACTTGGACGTTCATTCTAATCGACTTCAAGTAAGTTCTCCAAGCTTAATTTCCCGACCTCTATTCTTTCCTCTTTGTTTTCTATTTCCTCTAAGTGCTATCTTTTGTGATACTTAGGAAGAACTTAGTTCTTTTAACAAGACCTTTCACAAATCTCTTTCCAAAAACTTCCTCTGAAAGTAAGGAGAGCTCTATTTTGTTATTATAACATTGTATATTTTGTACTATGAGAGTACTATTGCATGCTTTCTTACATGGAAATATATGTTTGAATGGTATTTGATTGTTGTGAAAGGCTAATAATGCATGGTTGATTAATTCTTAGAATGATTGTATTATATTTCTATATTACGTGTAAAATGGATTTAGTTTGGAAGTGTTTTTCTAAGTATGATCTTTGAGCTAAATAATGAGATGGATATGAAAGAAAGTATGGGATGAGTACAAAGTGATGAAAGGAGTTAGTATGAATAGTTACAAAGATACACTAACGATATAGAGTTTGAAGACAATGTTGAAAATCTGGGAGAAACATAGGTAGAAAATGAAATTTGCGTATGTGTACACACTCTATCTAAGAGCAAATGCATCATATGGTCTCACACTCGTTTCCTGACTAGACTCCTAACTATACATTTGCTAAAGGGCTTCTTATTGTACGTGTTGTATCCGTGCGCAAGGACTAACTGGCGGCTATTTACTTATATGTGTAAGATCTCATGAAGTGCTGGAAGCATCGAATATCTGTGATCATAGTACATGAAAATTTTGTATTTAAGGGAGAGAATTGTATTAAATTTGTGTTTGAGTATATATGCATTTGTTTCAGCTAATGTATTTGCAATATGCTTGATGTGATAATATTTATTTAAGTTTAAGTAAGCTTGATGTTATGATGTGTAATAATGTATTTGTATTATGTTTAATGGTGAGAAAGGTGCTCATTCTTACTAAATATTTCAGGGAACAGGGATCGATTATTTTTGTTGCATCCAAATAAAATTCTCCATGGTTTAACTCCAATACTGAGTATTTTAGCCTACTTTTATTTATGGGTTAGGACTAAACAATCTTATTATAAAATGGGCCAATTATAGAATTCTAAGGGTTAGCCCATGACTTTTATTCTCATTTGCGAGCTCTAGTTTGAATTGAAATTTCATTCGAATTCAAGTTTTAACAACTGAATTAGAATATCATTAAATATAGATTCAATGATAGAATGTTGTTGATACTTTTCTCTCAATTCTTAAATTAGATGTTTTAATAATTGATTAATTCTTCTTGTTTCATATTTTGTACTATTAATTTTATTAAACCTCCTTATCTCACACTCTAATTTGATAGATGACTCTAGTTGCTTGTCTTATACTATAGTAATTAGGATTTTATTGTCTTATACTATCATGACATTCTCATGCTTAAACAAATATAGAAATAAAGTGTTGTGAAAATACAAAAAATAGAGATCGATTTACATGCGAATGATGAACTTTAAACAAGATTGACAAGAAGACAAGGTTATGGCAAAAATTATATGGCTTGGACAAAAAGAAATGGAAATTGTAGAGCGCTTTGTGTACTACACATGAGAAAAGTGATTGTTTAAAAGTGGTAAAGTACACTAATAAAGACTTTTCTATACTGTGCAACCGATGTAAAAGTATTTTCTTCATCAGTTGTACTATACAACTAATGTAAAAAGTCTTCCAACAAAAAAAAACATCATTTTTTTGCATCATTTGCCTTCAAAAATAACGTAAAAAAACATTTTATACATCAATTATACTATATAATTGATGTATAAAATCTTTTTCAAAAATTTTTATAAAAATTCACTTCTCTATTTTTACATTATTTTTCCCTTAACCTAACTAAAATATATTTATTATATTGGTTGTATCTATAACCAATGTAATTAGTACTTTTTACATTGATTATAGTTGAAACTAATGTAAAAAATTTAACGTAAATTTCAAAAATGTTATTATATTTTTTTTCATATTAACTTTTTAATCGATATAAAATTATATTTAAAAAATTATTTTTGTACTGATGGTAATTGATATTATGTTTCAATTTGTTAAAGTAATAAAAAAATTAAGAGATAAATTATTAAAGAAATCTTATTCTATATTTGAACAAAGGATTTTCTTTATTATAAATATAAGAAATTAATACACTAGTGATCTTTACCGATAAATCTTATTCCATAATTGAGTTAATTATGTTTGTGCGTTTTGAGTAAAAGCGAAACATAATAAATTTTATAGTGTAAATTAAATCATTTAATTTGAGAAGTGTTAGCAAACAAGAAGAATTTTACGTTAGCCAAACATCTATGGTCAAACAATTAACCATTGTCTGAATTT